ACCTACTTCTTGGCAGATAGGACGTTACATACATTAAATTAAAATAAGGATGCAAAGGAAGATATTGCTGTTTTTGAATTCGGGCATTTGGAATTGGAAGTGATGTGGAGTCAGGTCTTTTCATTTGTGCTTCCCTGGCTTCTAGTCTACTGTGATTCATCTTTCTGGTAACAATTCCATATTGGAGGAAGCTTCTGCCTTGTAACCCCCTCATTTTCAATGAAATGTGGTCGGATAAAAAAAGGGAATTTAATTGATTCAGTTCATTCTAAATCAAATTTAAAGCCAAACTCACCATGAAATCAAACACATAAGCTTTTGAGGATATGGTACGGGTTTGATTCAACTCGAAAACAATACGCTCCAAATTAATGAAAAGCGTTTATTGAACCCCAACCCGTCCTCTGTCCCATGTATAATACTACACCTTCACTCAAAGTCTCAAACTAACTAAACTCACAAATGCAAGTACTGTAATGTCAATGAATCGGGCACCTAACCCGATCCATTGACATTTGGGGCTGTGTTTGGTTTGAAGGAAAAGATAGGAAAATGAAAGGAAAGATAGGAAAGCCTATACAAGGTGAAGGGGAAGGTGTGTATAACTTGTACAGTATAAGTTTTCTTTCCTTTTCCTATCTTTTCCTTCAAACCAAATACAGCCTATAAAGGATGATAATAATTTTGTACAATATCTGCCGTGTTCTAAGCATTTGGTGGTATTTACAAATTTTCGTTTCTTCCATACATGGATTTGCATGTTAAAAACTTAAAATCTTCTTAAATTCAATACGAAGATGAATTTATTTATGAAACTCAAAATGATTCTAAGTAATTYTTCTATTTATTGGAAAATTACTTCCCTGGGGCCTGGGTTATCTGCCCTGAGTTTTGATTACAGCAAAAACCTCTCTTTACAAGAAAAATCTATGGTGCATACTTGAAATACCATGCATTGCCCTTTGATTGTGCATTGCCTTGGGCCATGTTTATTGTGTGTGATCTATTGGCGTGAGCTGTAAACTAGGAGAATATCCCTTAATTCAGGGATAACTCTTATCATAATAGTTTGTATGTAACTAGGAAAGGTAGAACAAGATAATTCGGGTGTAACTAGGAGAGGTGTGTATATATAACTCATTCTTTGCAAAGAAAATAATAACAAGAAGAAGAAGAAAGAATCAGAGTTTCTCCTTCTACTCGAGTTATCATGGTATCAGAGCGTCACAGTCCGTGACAAACTCGTCTTCCTAATCGCGGCGAAGTCTTGGTCGCCGGTGGGTGACCGCTGCTATTACCGCTGCAAGTCCGATGGTTGCTTTATCGTGTGGTTTTTTCTCTACTCAGAACTATCAACTCCACCGCGGTCACCGGTGGTTGGCCGCTACTACTGCCGCTGCAAGTCCGACAGTTGCTCTGCTAGATCTCGCCGTCTCACAGTGGTCGCCGGTGGTTGGTCGTTGATATTGCCGCTGCAAATTCTTGTTGAGTGCAACCCGCCTCTTCTTCACATCAGAACTGTTGATTCCACTGTGGTCGCCGGTGGTTGACTGYTGCTACTGCCGCTGCAACCCGCCTGCTTCTTCACAATCTGCAACGACCGAACATCGTTCTCTGACACTCAGCATTAGGTGCGATTGTTGACTCCCTTCTACTCCGAGACGCCATCGGCAAAACACCCTTCGACAGACACAACCATGTCCGATTCGGAAACCTCAGATCCGTTTGGACAACAACGACCCAATCCTACCCTCACTGAATTGACCACCAGAATGACTGAACTCCTGCACAGACCGACCTCGACTACAGAGACCTCCACTGCTCAGATCGGCATTAAGTTGGACAGCACCAACTATGCTCTTTGGTACCAAGTTGTTGAGATGTATATCTCTGGCAGAGACAAATTGGGATATATTAATGGCGAACTTCCCCAGCCTCCACAGACTGACCCAAGCTTTCGAAGGTGGTGCACCAACAACGCTATTGTCAAGGGATGGTAAATTAACTCCATGGACGTATCCTTAATTGGTAACTTTATTCGATTCCCTACAGCAAAAATGGTGTGAGATTCTATTGCTACTACGTACTTTGATGGCAGTGATACCTCGCAAGTATACGATCTCCGGCGCCATGTGACCCGCTTGCGCCAGTCTGGAGGATCTCTTGAAAAGTATTATAATGATCTCCAAGGTTTGTGGCGATAAATTGATTTTCCCCGTCCAAATCCGATGGAGTGTGTGGCGTGTGGCCTTGATGACAGATTAGACAAGATTTGGGCAGATGTACTCCAAATGCATCTATTTCCCACTATTGAACAAGCATACTCACATGTTCGGAGAGAARCTATCCGATAGAGGGTCATGATCACCGGTAACAATATTGAAACTCCAAGAGCAGTTTTGGCCTCTAGAGGTTTTAAAAYTGGGCAACTTACGCCCTCCTCAACGGGTTCTCTGCCTTTAAGCAACGAAAAATCTGGTACGACCTCTAAATCTCGAACATCTTCTAGTGGAACTAAGTGTTTTCATTGTGGTAACTCAAAGCATACCCGGGAGAATTGCTTCAAGCTACATGGCTATCCCGACTGGTAGCATGAACTCCAAGCTCGGAAACGTCAAGACAAGGCCGAAACTAGTGGTAAGGCTGCAACGGTTACAACAGGATCTCAACTCTCATTCACACCACAGGGAGACGTACACCTCTCGGATTCAGGTAACAATCTTCCCAACAAAACTATTGATARCAATGCATGGATACTTGACTCAGGGGCTACTGACCATATGACCTATGATGCTACTGATTTTTCAAAGACTTCACCACCAAGACGGACTACAATTGCTAATGCCAATGGGGCTATCTCTCAAGTCACAGGTGCAGGCATTGTGACCTTATCACTTGCAATATCCTTGAGGAACACCTTTCTTGTTCCCTCGCTCTCCCCTAAATTACTATCTGTTAGTCAAATCTCCTCTGATCTAAATTGTGTTGTGCTCATTTATCCTACTTTTTGTCTTTTTTAGGATATTCTCACCAAGGAGATAATTGGGCATGGTACTAGGAGGGGGGAGGGGGGGGGGCTCTACTACATGGATGATCTCAGCACGGGTCGAGCACATCATGCACATCATCAAAGTAACACCAGAGAACAATAGATTTGGATGTGGCATCGCCGGTTAGGACATCCATCATTCGGTTACATGAAACGTTTATTTCTGGAGTTATTTATAGATATACAGTCTCATGATTTTTAGTGTAACACTTGCATCTTAGCTAAGAGTCATAGAACTATCTATCCCTTAATTATGAATAAAAGTAGAGTTCCATTTGCTTTGATTCACTCGGATGTGTGGGGGCCATCCCCGGTAACTACAGTGTCTGGATTTCGCTGGTTTGTAATCTTTGTTCATGGCTGCACTCGCATGACATGGTTATATCTGCTGAAACATAAAGATGAAGTGTTGACTGTATTTCAATCTTTCCATATGATGGTGAAGACTCAGTTCACATCACAGATCCAGGTACTCAGGTCTGATAATGGTGGGGAATACATGAATCAATGATTCCAAGATTATTTCCGGATTCATGGGTTATTTCATGGGACCTCATGCCCACAAACTCCACAGCAAAATGGCATCCCTGAGAGGAAGAACCGGCACATACTCGAAACTGCCGCGCTCTGTTACTTGGAGCACATGTACCTAACCGACATTGGGCTGATGCTGTTGCTACCGCCGTGCACCTCCTTAACTGAATGCCATCATGGGTCTTACAGTTTAAAACACCATTACAAGTTCTTTCATCACATGTCTCCTTGCCATCCGTTTTGATGATTCCACCTCGAGTTTTTGGCTGTGTGGCGTTCGTGCATCTACATAAAAATCAACGCACAAAACTGGATCCATGAGCAACAAGATGCTTATTTTTGGGGTATGCGCTACACCAGAAAGGGTATCGATGCTATGACCCAGTCATCCACCGCACTGGATGTTACCTTTCTAGAATCTGAAACATTCTACTCTCCTTCCAAAACCAATTCTTCTCTTCAGGGGGAGAGTCAGAGTGAAGAACAGAATTGGTTTTTACCCGACTGGCTGAATACGAGTGCTTCAACAGAGATGGTGGTCAATGAAGCAACCGGTAAGACACCTACAGAGACAGCACCGGAGACATCTACAGAGACCCCAACGTCTACATCGCCTCTCCCAGCAGAAGAAATAGAGACCCCAACCTCCCCAGTACCGGAAGGCCCATCTCCTGAGGATATCCCGGAACCGCGTGAGAGCATCCCTGAGGTAATCTCTCCTACCACACCTTCAAGCTCTAACGATATGAATACTTCGGCTGGTTATACTTTACCTTTCAGGCATAATCGTGGCAAACCACCAAATAGATATTCTCCAGATGTTGAGGATCGGAGGTCAAAGTATCCAATTGCCAATTATGTATCAGCAAGGAGACTCTCCAAACCTCTAAAAACATTTGTGCAAGAATTGTCCTTAAATCATATTCCCGCCAGTGTTCAAGAAGCTTTCACAAACCCGAAATGGACTCAGGCCATACAAGAAGAGATGAAGGCACTATTGAAGAACAAAACATGGACTCTGGTTACCTTGCCCGAAGGGAAAAGACCTGTAGGGTGTAAGTGGGTATTTTCCGTTAAATACAAGGCGAGCGGGACAATTGAGAGATACAAAGCGAGGCTGGTTGCAAAAGGTTATACCCAGACACAGGGAGTAGATTATCAAGAGACCTTCTCACCAGTGGCCAAGTTGAATACGGTCGGAGTTTTATTATCTCTTGCAGCAAACCTTGATTGGCCACTGCACCAGTTCGATGTAAAGAACGCCTTTCTCCATGGTGATCTTGAAGATGAGGTATACATGGACATCCCACCTGGTTATACAGCGAATTCCAAGAACCAAGTTGTGTGTAAGCTACAGTGAGCACTATATGGACTGAAACAATTACCGCGGGCATGGTTTGGGCGGTTTAGTCTTGCGATGAGGAAATATGACTTCCAACAAAGCAATTCAGACCATACACTATTTATGAAGCACCAACGAGGGAGGGTGACAGATCTAATAATATACGTGAATGATATGATTATCACAGGGAATGATTCAGGAGAAATAGCAACACTGCAAAAGCAATTGACAACTGAGTTTGAAATGAAGAACTTAGGCGGGCTCAAGTATTTTCTTGGAATTGAAGTTGCTAGGTCAAGGGAAGGTATATTTCTGTCTCAACGAAAATACACCTTAGATTTGCTCTTCGAAGTGGGACAGTTAGAGTGCAAGCCGGCAGACACACCAATTGTTCAAAACCATAAACTTGGAGAATACCCAAACCAAGTGCCTATCAATAAGGAGAGATATCAAAGGCTAGTTGGTAAACTTATTTACCTCTCACATACTCGTCTAGACATCGCCTACGTTGTCAGCGTAGTAAGTCAGTTCATGCATTGCCCAAGCGAAGATCACATGAATGCTGTAATGCGAATTCTTCGATACTTGAAGTCCTCTCCTGGAAAAGGACTTATGTTCTCAAAAAATAATCATCTAAAGATAGAAGGCTATACAGATGCAGATTGGGCCAGAAATATCTCAGATAGAAAATCCACCTCGGGGTACTTTACATTTGTCGGTGGGAATCTGGTCACGTGGAGGAGTAAAAAACAAAAGGTGGTGTTCCTATCAAGTGTTGAAGCTGAGTTTCGAGGAATAGCTAAAGGGCTTTGCGAGCTACTCTGGCTTAGAAGATTGATGACTGAAATTGGTTTCCCCCCCAACCTCTGAGATGGACCTATTCTGTGATAACAAGGTTGCCATAGACATCTCTCAGAATCCCATCCAACATGATCGAACAAAGCATGTGGAGGTGGACCGGCATTTCATCAAACAAAATATCGAAGACAGAATCATTCGATTTCCCTTTGTCAAGTTCGAAGACCAGCTGACAGATATACTTACAAAACCTGTATCCAGTAAAAGGTTCTACAGCTCACTCGGCAAGTTGGACATCCAAGATTTGTACGCGCCAACGTGAGGGGGAGTATTGGTGTAAGCTGTAAAGTAGGAGAATATCCTTTAATTCAGGGATAACTCTTATCATAGTAGTTTGTATGTAACTAGGAAAGGTAGAACAAGATAGTTCGGGTGTAACTAGGAGAGGTGTGTATATATAACTCTTTCTTTGCAAAGAAAATAATAACAAGAAGAAGAAGAAAGAATSAGAGTTTCTCCTTCTACTCGAGTTATCATGATCTTGGGTGGTAAAAGGGAAGATGTAAAATCAGAGATGATGGCGTGATGGAAAGTCTTGAACTTGCAATACAAGGTGAGATCAATGGTCAGTTCCGAACGGAGCCCAAAGGAAAATTTTCCGATTGTTGTACTGTGAGAGCAAGGGCCAATCCTGTACCAGTTATTATTATATATTTTTTTTGGCGAATTAGAAATGGAACAGAGAAACCACAAATAGAAGAGTTAGAAGAAGTGTTTAACAGAAATTGAAGAGGGCCCATTTTGTGGGTCTGCATTTTGCAATGGGGTATAAATAAGAGAGATAAAATCTGAGAATATACAGATGGGTTGTGTTTTGAATTATGAAAATCGGTGCAGTGAGCTGATCAGACTGAATCAGTGAAAGTGAATGGAAGAAGAGGCAATATACAGGGAAAYTGCATGTCTTCAATCGGCGTAACAAGKCATTAATTTGCTTGCATAATATTTACTGATACCCTTCCTAATTCTAAGTGCCCCAACACAATTACACAATGCAACGTTAAGCTTTCCTTTTCTGGGAAGTGATTTCCGGCATGTACATGTCTAATTAATTTTTGACCAAGGTGCACGCATACCGTTAACCCTATAAAACAAAAAGCAGTACTCTCCATGCGCTGATTTGATTTTTCTGATTATAAGTAGTGGCTATTCTTTGTCTTTTAATTTCTTAATCAGCCATGTGCACATGGGAAATCTACCATCTCTCTGACGACATCACAACCTATAGGTTGCAACAAAGTCGACTGGAACACGATCCGAATCCAATTGCAACGGCAAAAGAAACATCATCTTACTCTTACTCTTGGGATCGATCACGATGAACTCAAGTTTAATTTCAATATTCAGAAACTCCAACAGCAACTTTATTAAAGGACATATACTCGGTATTTTAATTTGGTAAGGTGCATTTGATTTTGACGTGGTGAATTAATTTGTTATGGAACCCCAAAATCAGGCCAAATGTATAGTATATACTCAATAGGTTTAATGTTCAAAATCAAGAATATGCAAATTGAATTTATCAGATGCTTTTGCTTCTTTAACTATTAATTATGGAAAACAAAGCCTATGGTTTTCCATTATCAGGGCACAATGAAACCATGTAATGAATTTTCTGTATCAAAACTTAAAATCCATGAAGCATGAATCTTGGCTGAGCCTTCATTTATATATATATATATATATATATGAATCATGAATGAATGCATGATCCAGCCCAACACACAAAAAGGGGAAAAAGAAGAGAAGGAATTAACACAAAAAATGAAAATAAATTGGATTACGTACTCGATCGTGTAAAAAACAAACCAATATGCTATACTCTTCCATCAATAGTAAAAATCAAATGAATAAATTGAATGAATTACATTATCCTTCGTCCCTAATACCACTAAATATTTATATATATGTCACAAGTCTCAACTCAGTTTGTTATGTCTCCTGTAGTTTGAGTTTGAGGTTGAATTAATCTCACTTAGACCGGTGTGGAGCAGGAAGAAGTGGAAGGATCAAACAGAGCCGGGAGCAAGTACTTCCTCCCGTTTGCACCGTGCGCATTGTAGCTTGCACCAGTTGTGGGATCCACCAATAGCTCCCCTGCGTAACCCGGGTATGCCCCTTTGCCGTACACACCAGGGCAAGCTGAGGCCGCCTCCAGAGGTGCTCCACCGGGACCTTGAAAGTAACCGTTCCCAAAGGGGTTCGTCACAGTTCCGGCCAATAGACCGGCCAGGTTGATCACCATACCGTCCACGCCGACGTCGTTGTTTGGTGCCACTAAGGGTGGACTCTGTGGTCCGTATATGGGCTGGTGGAACGGCCAGGCACATCGACCCGGACACTGAGTCTCCGAGTTGCCAACCCAGATGTATGCAAACTTGTTGTTCACCTTCACCCCAGACCCAGAGCTCTTGTAAGCCGTAGAAGAACCATGGGTGCCGCATCTGCTGGAGCAGAAGCCTTGGACGGCCACATCGGATGCCGTCAGCACGACGTTAATGGCGTTCTTTTGGTCTCCTCTCGCTGCCAATTCTAGGATTTGCTTATTTGTAAGAGATTTTCCCAACGAGTATTTGTCATCCAGGATCTGTTTACCCATCTCAAGGACGAGGGAAGGGTGCTTCTTCGAGGAGGAGGAGGAGGATGAGGAGAGGTGGTAGTACTTGTCAATGGTTTTCCACCAGGTGGCAACCGAAGGTTGAGTCTGGGTAGTCTTTAATGCCGACGAAGTGGGAAGAGAAGAGATGAAATCAGAGACGATAGCTCGCTGGGAAGGCTTGAAATTGCCATACCAGATGAGATTGATGGAAATTTTGCCGGAGAGAAGGGGACCATTGTGGTATTGTAAGAGCTGAGACTGATCCTGTACCAGAGTAGAGAGTATCCGCGCAGCGGAAGAGAAATGAATAACAGAGGTTAGCAAAAAGAGTTGGAAGAATAGATTGATTGGAACCGAAGAAGCCATTATCAATCTCAATCTGTATCGGATTCGTATGGTTGATAAGTAGGAGGGGAAAGAAAGAAAGCAGTAGAAAGGGGAAGCTGGGATGGTTTGTGTTTGATGTAGATGCGCCGCGGGGTTTATATAAATTTGAAGAGACGAGTAATTTTATTGCGTGATATTTAAAAAAAGTTGGGGGAAGAAACAGCGACGAAGGAGTTGGGTGCATATGAATTATGAGGATGAGATCATGAGAGGGCCGAAGAACGCGTTTTTCAATTAATTGAAGTAGTTTACTTTTACCTGTTGTGATGTGGCACCGCATATCCCATCTTTCTGTATACAGCTAAGCTAAGCGCCACTTGTGGCTTGTGAATTGTGATGATGTAAATTTGTTGAAAAACTAGTGTCTTCTGGTGCAAACTGACTGCACACTGCAAGCTGGAAGGTAGCGCTTTCTTCTGCACCTGTATTTAAGATGAATGTCAAGTGGGGTGATGTTTGGCATCGATGATGATTTCTCCTTGTCCTTCCACAAATCATCGTCAGTGATTTTTTAATAATCATAAAAAAAATGTTATCTGGTATTACTTATGTTATATAAGTTCATTTTTGAGAAATCGATTTGGAGTTTGTTTGGTATCAAAAATTGTTGTTTGGTACGATTTATGTTATAAAAGCTGTATTCTAATGTCGTGTTAGAATATGCCATGTCATACTAAAAAAACCGGAATTAGTTAAAAGTCAGAAAATCATCAAAAAGAAGTGATTAATAAATTTTTGACTGATTTCCCAACAATCAGCATAATCGGCCAACCAAATAAAAAAAAAAATCACTGATTCTTCAAATTCTGATGTAAATCTTACGTAGCTCCAATTTTTGAAAAATCATCATCAATGCCAAACATTACCTTTGTTTCCCCTTCCCTTTGGATGGTAACATTTAGGTTAATGTTTGGTTTGAAAGAAAAGGTAGTGAAGGGGAAGAAAAGGTATGAAAATCTATACAAGGTTTATAAACGTTTTCCTACCTTTCCTTTCCTTTCACTATTTTTTTCATCTAAAGATGTGGGCCTCTCGAAGATTCAGCAATTCATCATTCATCATCCATAGTGGTGGTCATCATGTGCCATCTTTTAACATCCATTAAAATAATCTAGGGGACCAATTTTCAAGAAAAAACGCTTATGCTTCCAAGACCCGTTTTTCACAAAAAAACACTTCTGTCATGTAGACAGTGAGCAATATTATGCTGTTTATTAAGGTGATTTTCATCACTATTTTTCTTGTATATGCTGACAGGTAAACACCACATAGGATACACATCAGTCAACCGTTGGGGGAAATGGTTCACCGATGCATAAAACACCAAGGTCCCGATTTTTGAGACATATCTGATTTTTTAATAATCGGCTGAACCAAACAATGAGATACATRGATGTATGTTGAAATGCCTATATGATTCCAACGTGGCACCATTTTTTTAAAAAATGGTCACGATTCCAAACATCCCTAAGTCTAGAATCAGCTGTCTCTATCGGGTTACATCGAAATTGAACCCTACCGTGTGGATGTGGTACCCTCTAGCGCCTCTACTAGAAATGGGCCAGACTACTAATGCAAACAATAGGAGTAAGGTGATCTACAACTAGAAATACCGTGATCCAATCCAACTACTGTTTGTTTCCTTAAAAAAATCCAGCTACTGATGCTCTGACCGACTGCTTTTATCTACTTTCTTGGCGTTGGGTCTGTCTGAACTGCAGCTTATGTCTGGGCTCCTGGTGTTAGCTGGGTCCAAGAATTAAATTATATATGAGCTGGAATTGGGATATGGATGGGTGTTATACGTATTTTCATTTATAATGCAGATATATATATATATATATATATATATATATATATAACGCATAGCCTTGTATTTGTATTTTTATACCTAAATTTGTATTATACATATTTGCAATTATACTACTTCCAAACTAAAAGCCTAAGAGATAAGGATAGAGAAGGGTGTAGTGAGGTGCATTCACCTTTATCACAGAGAACCAGGCAGGAACACCGAGTGGCTATGTATCTTAGCTAATGGGTGATCGACACAAATGAATTCATTTTCGTTTTCACGAATTCAACCAGAGAGAACAAGTCAATAGTGCAGAAATAAATATTTTGAGGGGCCATGGGGCTTGATGATCAAGGGTTCTATACTTCTATTCTATTAAGTCAACTTGCAGTCTATTTGTTTTCATTCTAATTTAATTTTTAACTTGTCGATTAGGCTGGATCCATGAGTGAGTGAGACACTGAGACCAAAGTTGAGACACACCCAATGGGATTCTGGGAAGGAACATGATGAGGTGTATATGAAGAGGGAAATTGGACAAGAGGAGTACATTTGTTTGAGATAGAAAGTCCAAATAAATAGCCCGCCTTTTCAGGCTTTTTTTTTTTAAAAAAAGTCCAAATAGCCGAAAAACATTGTGTTCGTTGGAATAAGTAATTCCCTGCGAATATAGCAAAACGCGATGCAAAAATATGGGATGCTTGCGTTTTTTAATATTAAAATTGGTGTACCATTTTTAAATTTGTTATCCAAATATTATTGTTATATATTTTTTCTGGTATAAGTACACCCTATATGTACATATTATATTTAAATTTTGAAAACACACAACATTTATTATACATTTTCCTAATTTTCCCTGCTCTTAGAGAATGACTCTCTGAACGAGAACTAATGGTCTATTCTCATAATTTGTTATGAAAAATTGAAATTAGTTAAAATAAGATTTCATTTTAAAGGACGGAAGGAGATAGGCATCCATCAAGAATGAGAATAGGATTCTATTCCGTCCAAGCGGAACAGTTTTTGAATTGGAATGACCCATTTCAATTTGGATTTCCGACTCCTGTTCTGAAAAACCAAATGGACCACTTACTGAATGGGGGGCAATCGCTATTTAATAATGMTGGTGATGTTGAATTAATMATGAATAAAGACTCGTCGATCTCGCATCTTGTTTCAATTCTAAAAGGCAGAAAGTGCCCATTTTGAAGACTKTGTTTCAAAAGCAAAGCACTCTAATTTTGCTCTTCATGATAAAAAATTAATTAAATCAATAAATGAATTACAGTATCCTCCGTAGGCCCTATGGGAGTATGGACCTTTCCTACATGATCAAAAGTATGTGTGAAGTATACACATACATACCACAATCTTTTCTTTCTCCACTGAATCGGAGATTGCCGTACGARCTATTACTATTTACTATACCGGATGGTTAATACTAGTATACCCTCTCTCTCTCTCTCTCTCCTCAAAGGGTCAAACCAATGTGGAGCAGGAAGAAGTGGAAGGATCAAACAAGGCTGGGAGAAGGTATTTCCTTCCGTTTGCGCCGTATGCATTGTAGCTAGCTCCAGTGGTGGGATCTACCAGTAACTCCCCTGCGTAACCCGGGTAAGCCCCCTTGCCATATACGCCTGGGCAAGCCGAAGCTACCTCTAGAGGCGCTCCTGCAGATCCCTGGAAGTAGCCGTTGCCGAAGGGATTCGTCGCCGTTCCTGCCAACAGACTCCCAAGGTTGATCACGATACCATCCACGCCCACGTCGTTGTTTGGTGCCACCAACGGTGGGCTTTGGGGTCCGTAGATGGGCTGGTGGAACGGCCAAGCACATTGACCTGGGCACTGAGTCTCCGAGTTTCCCACCCAGATGTATGCGAACTTGTACTTGTTATTCTTCTTCACCAGGGCACCGGAGGAGGAAGAGCCGTGTGTCCCGCACCTGCTCGAGCAGAAGCCTTCGACGGCCACGTCCGAAGCCGTCAACACAATGTTGATGGCGTTCTTTTGGTCTCCTTTCGCAGCCAACTGCACCAGTTGCTTGCTGGTGAGAGATTTCCCAACCGAGTACTTGTCAAGGATCTGCTTGCCCATCTGGAGGGTGAGGGAGGGGTGCTTCTTGGCGCCGAGGTGGTAGTATTTCTCGGTGGTTTTCCACCAGGTAGCAACAGAAGGTTGGGCCTGCTGGGTCTGGGTGGACTTTGAAGCTGATGGTGTAGTGATGGACGAGATAAAATCGGAGATGATGGCACGTTGGGAAGGCTTGAAGTTGCCATACCAAATGAGGTTTACTGAGATTTTTCCATAGAGGAGAGGACCGTTGTGGTACTGCAAGAGCTGGGCCTGCTCCTGTACCTGATCGGCGAGTCTCCTAGCAGCGGAGGATAAATGAATTAGGGAGACCATGAAGAAGATTTGGAACAAGAATAGCTTGGTTGAACCCATTACTCACTGGCTTTTTTTTTTTTTTTTTGTAGCAGAAAGACCACTGGAGAGAGAAGAAGAAGAGAGAATGGGGAATTGGGAGGTGTTTGTTGTATAGGCAGCAGGGACTACAGGGGTAATATATAGTTCCAAGAGACGTGTTATTTTATTATTATTTTGATGAATGAAATAAAGAAGAGGAGAGTTGGATAGAGATGGTTAACGAGTTAAAAAATTATAAAAATAATAACATTGGGTGGGGACTGGGGGGTGTCAGTCTGGATACAGCTAAGGCATCTATCCCCCTTGCAGTAAGTGCCATAAAAGCACATTACTACAGCTAAGGTAAAGTAAAGGGTGGGTACGAAAATGACGGGAATGACCTTATACATTGCTGCTTCTGAACAAAGAAGTTGGGGCATTGAAGGGAAATAACAAAAATAAAGAGGAATAAAAAACCAGAAAAGAGAAGAGACGTTGCAGTCCATAGAGAGTGTGTGTGGAAGGGATATACTACTGGCTACTGCGGTCGGGGGAAGGGGGGTGTTTTCATAGGGATGCGCGGAGAAGCCAACTGGCGTCGTCGTTTTGCGTGGGGTGTTTTCTCGAAATATAGAAAACTTTTTACTTTGGTGGGAGCATCCGAGGTGAAAATCCAACCCCAACCCCAAGGAAAAAACAATTAAAAAGGAGAGAGAGAGAGAGAGGACAACGCGGTTGGGTTTGGAGTTGGCCGTTGGGGTTAATCCTTGAAAACGCGCCCGCGCATCGGCGCATGCACACGCAAYTCGTGAAAGCGAATCAGTGGTTGGTGACAGGGATGGGAGTAACCAGAAATAGCAGAATCCAGCTGGACGAAGCTAATAGATGCCAACTGGAAGCGCTCCAAAGTACAAGAGAGACGGGCTTCATCAGCTTTTGCGTGTGATTGGAGAAAAGAAAACTTGGCTTTTCGGAGAGCGAGCAATAGAGTCGTTTCTCTTTCTTTCTTTCTCCAAATTTCACTCGCTAACGCCCTTTTTAATTTGTATCTTTAGCCATTTTCTTTCAATAATTTTATCATATGGTGAAATTAAAATTCTTTTGTCGCCTTTCGTTTCAAACCAGCGGCAAAGTCGACCGTTTTTCTTCAATTTATTCTTGCAGATTTGGCAGTTGATCATTGACATCACCAATCGAGTTCGATCAGCTACCAACATACGGTGCCGATAACGTTCCAATCAGTCATTATAGCCGTACATCGAGAACATCTACTATTCAATGACTAAGGGATATGTTCCGGCTGCAGACTGCCGTGGGCCTATTGGGACAATCTTGGCGGGGTGTTTTATTGGTAGYAGATTCCACCTCTCACCAATAATTATGCATGAATCCTGATATGGACTCAATAGTATTTAGAACTCCAAATTTTGAATGGGCCCGAGCCCGAACAGTTGCCAAACTTTAGACTGCAAGCCCATCTTGTTCTGGATCCATATGATCATTGGACTGCAAACCCATATCTTCTTTAGACTATAGTGTATMGACACACAACGAGATTATCAGATAATATACGACATAAATCATTAAATTTTAGAAACAAATAAATATTAATTAATTTAGAATATACATACTGTAAAAAAATTACTGTGAGTTTATGGGGAGATGTTTGACTTTCGGTCCAAACCAATTAACTTAGGTACTGCAATTTCATTGCTTTCTTGACAGTCTAATCTTAGTTGAAAACTTCTTTTCTTTGAAATTTCAATTAAAAAAATAAATAATTAACGAATTAAGGTGGAAAAAAAGATTTCTAACAAAATTTCCTAAGCACCTGATTTTGAGTTTTAAACGGATCTAATATTCAATCCATTAATATCTTTTCATGTATCAAAAAAAAAAAAAAAATTCAATCTATTAATATATAAATTCAAATCAAATCTTACCCACTGGATTTAGATATGAAATGTCATTAATAAATTAAACAGAAAAATGACCATTATCTTATATGTTAATAATAAAACATAGAAACAAAAGTATTTGTAGTATGCTAGGCTTGAACCTACATTAATGTTTTAGTAAACATACAGCGTTGCATCAACTCTACTAGCAAATACATATTAATTTTATGTAGATATAAATATTAGCAGATTTTATTCAGCTGTTGTGGAAATAAATGTTTTTTTCTGAAAAACATTTTATCAGACCAAGTCTTGGAAATAATATTAAAGGTGTGGTACGAGGAACGGCATTGGTTCCAAATTTTATAATGGCTTAATCAAAGCCCACTGTACTCATTAAGAATTCTGAGATTGGAGAAAAAAAATGTGGCATTGTGGTAGGCAGATCTAATTTTGCAATGGTATATGCATGAAACTTAAAAAATAAACAGGAATTATTAAAAATTAAAAGGAATTAAATGATATATGATGCATGAAGCTTATTCATATTGAGTTGGAAGGGCAATCCCCCAAGGTCCAAGCAGGAGGGAGAACCGAGAAGCTGTACGTTATCCCAAAAACAGTGACGACTGGCGACCCATATTTTGACTTTGTTTAATAATTGAGAGTGCTTGATTACATTTGTTAATAGGTAGCCACCTGTAATGCCACCAAATCCCTATACACTTGAATCAAGGCCTCGGCGTGTCTGGTGGCCGGGATGGGCGGATTCCTACATTCACCTGCCTTCAATTCAACTGCACAACTGTGCATTCATACTACATAGGGAATTCTTTATTTTATTTTTTAATTTTTTTCCCATTTGATAGATACCATTCATACTAATACTATTCACTCACGAGGAGATTGTTTTTGAGTTTCAATCACTTCATGTCCTTGTTGTTGGTAGCTCTGTTTTACTGTTTCCGAGATACAGCCCTCGTCTCTCCCTTGCTTATTATTTAAGTTGTTAAGCAATATATATAATGAATCAAGGCCTTGGCCAAGGAGGAACATTGCATTTATTAGCTATAAAACCTATGGGGACCAGAGGAATAATATCGCTATTCCCTGCATCTTGTTCATGCTTAATTTTATTGACCAAGGCTGTATGTAGATGGCTATAAAAAAAGCCAGCCCTAGCTACTGCTTCTGCCTTCATAGTTTCCTACATCTTATTAATTAAATAGTGAATCATATAATTTATATGTCTAAGCATACAAAAAAGTACGGATAGGTCTAATGTACATTTTTAATTTTCACTGCAGAGTTATAAACATTTAAAATATAAACAGTCCACATTTTATGCATCAATATCGGTTCGTAAATTAGCATCAATTCTAAACTAATACCTATTCTAACTGTATTTTAGACCTACAAATTTTGACCCTGAACTGAATCGTTATTCTCCCTAAAATATTTATATAGGTAACAACGATAGACATCATCTCATTTAATTAAAGTTAAACTCAAATTAATAATAATAATAAGGGTTTGTGCTTGTGGCATCGCACTATTTGGTGTTTGTCGTTACAAATTCAGCAGCAAGCAGCAAATAGCAGGCCTGGTCTGGTAAGCTGCTATTGCATATTGTTAAATGTTAAATCAGTGCAGTGCAGGCTTCATCCTGATCATCCTGCTGTAAATATTAATTATTAATGTATACGTGCCAGCTTCGGTGCTTGTAGGTGGATGAGATTGTCTCTGATGAGTGATGACCAACAAAAACAGCGTCTCTCTTTCAAAATTACACCATGAGCATGGGCATCATGCATCCATACTACGTATGTACGTACGTACACCCCACACACCACAGTGATAGAGTCATGTACATTAAGTCATTAATTATTACTTTTTCATTTAGGTCTGTTAATGGTTTATAATCATAAGAAAATTTGACCTGAAAAACGTTGTGGGCCTGTGGGCTTTGGTCTTGGCCTTTCCACCACAACCCCCAACAACAGAACAAGGCCTTGCCACATGTTACTTCCTGCCGGCCGGGTTTCCTGTTCATCGACGCTTAATTGCATATTGTAATTGCTATTATTGTTTGTGGTCAATGGTCATGTACCTTAGTTACTGGTTAGGGCCTATTAATTTGGAATATGAAAAAAAAAAGCTTTTTTGTGTGTTGGTGGTAATGTGGTATACGTACTAACTCTAACTCTCAAATATTCTTAATTATTTGCATATTTTCTTTAATTACTTATTATTTACATCTATCCGAAATAAACTGCTCCACTAAATTAAGCTAAGATCATTGATACGTCCTTCCTCTCATGTTTCCCTATTTCTAATTACATTTCCAAAGAAAATCGTTTATCATACCTGCCCACATACTGCACTAATTATGCTAATTTCAATTCTATTGGTCATATATTTTTTATACTGATATCTTTCTTACCATACTCGCCCGCTATTGGTGCCTTAGAAATCCAAAGCTTTTTCTTCTTTTAAGAGTTCTAGTTTAAAGGCCGTTTAAGGACGGCTGAGGTTATTGAAGTGAAAAATTTAGGCCTCGTTTTCTTCAATGGTGTTTGATTGGGTAGAATTGGAATTTTGTTCTTATTATTGTTAGAATGATATTCTTCCGTTTGAGGAAATGGTCATTTTCTATCCCTTTTCTTGTGAATAAAATTCTATTTCTATTGATTCCAATTCTCATTTTTATTCCGCTCTATATCAAACAGATTATGAGAATGGATCATTCCAATTCTGACTGTGAATCAAATGGACCCCTATTGTTTTGTCTTCTAATTGTTAAAATGAMTTAAACAATAAAAATTTAGAGGGTATAGTAATTTACAAGCTTTTCAGTTTCAGGCTTTCAGCTATGCATAACCTCTTAACATATAAAGCAATAAGCTTTCAAACTCAATGTTTTTAGCTGATATCAAATAGCCCTTTAAGCAATGTTTGGAACTGACTCCAAAGGAAAGTTTTTAAAACTTTAACAAAATACTTATACTGGGAGGGGGAGGCTTACGTGGTGGGAGAAATCTGAGCCTCTAATTTTGTGGGACTTGAGTGGTATTTGATAGCGCTCAAAAAACTTGCGACATTTGGGGTCACGTCTTAAAAGGTGTATATGAATGCCATTTACAGACCTGAAATGGCAAGAGGTCACCCAGCCACTTAATGTAGTCAGAGTCAATTTAGAGCTGATAAAATGTCCTAAATGYCCTCTTATCMTTTCTCA